AGTGTTCCCATGTGAGTTATATATAAAATAAGTTGGCGACCAAAATTTACGATCTGGCGACCAAATTTTTCCCGTTAGTCGCCAGCTGGCTCCCGAACGTAAAAGTTAATTTCGAGCCCTGAACTGAGAAACTTTACTACATGCTTTGAGTCGAAATTTAAAATATCAGGCAAAATAGCTTTATCAAGAAGGACATGTCTTCATGATTGCAGTGTACTTTCCACATCTTATTTGCTTTTTTTTTTTGTTTTGTTTCTTTACCGGTGTGCAATATGATACCAAACAACTTTGTCTTTAAAACTGACAGCAAAGCTTCCGTGTTCCTCTATTGGTTTCACTTAAAGCTCAAATTATTAAGCTTTAGAATCATCATTAAGAAGTAATTAAGAATCCCCAAAAGGCAAACGTAATTAACCTTAAGTTATTCTTAATCAATGATCGATAAGTTTTATCATTCACTTACCAGCCTGATGTCGCTGACAATTGCCTTCTAATTCGTAGTTCAAGGTGCGCAGTTCAATAAGCTGTGTCTGCATGGAACAAGAGGTAAACATTAAACCAGTCAAAACTAGATCAAAGGTTTTGCTTATATTTTGTCACACTACCTGCATTCGAGAAAACTCTTCATCTGATAAAGACGACGCCATCTTGGATAGTGGCAACTTCCTCCCAGCATCCCCTGCAGTTCAGAAAGCCTCGATTTGCCGCTAACTTCCGGATCCTGGGAATCCAACATGGCGGCCACCAGTCGTTTTCCTAGAAATGGTAAAGGTAATTATTTTTCTACGAATCCTAGCTAATCCAATTTAAATTGCAATCAGGTGGCATTTCTCTATATTTGATTCTATTATTCATGATATTTAGCTTTGGCGAAAAAGCAATTTTACATCTAAACGTTTGAACTTTCGCTGCTCGTTATCGCCGCCCTAATTACACCAGCTTACGCCAGGGAAGGATCAACACGCAAGGAAACATAAACTTAAGTTTAAATACATGAACTGAAAACTAAAAGGTAAGTGAACATATGTGTACTGTACTCTAAACGATCGGAGGTCTTAGGTCTTAGGTTTTGATATTCGGAGGGTCTTAGGTCTTAGGTCTTAGTTTTTAAGATTCAGTGGGGGACTTAGGTCTTAATTTTGAAATTCGGAGGAGGACTTACAGTGGGGGATCCAGGGGAGGGGCTCGGGGGACCCCCCCCCTTTTAATTAGGGTAAAAAAAAGAAAAAAATCACAGAAGGAAGAAAAGCTTGCAGGTCAAACAAAGCAAAGACCCCCTGCTTACTAGCTCAAGGTCTGTATACGCCACTGTCTTTAAGGTCTTTTTTTTTTTTTTTTTTCGAGGTCTTAGTTTTTGAGATTCAGAAGGGCTCTTAGGTCTTAGATCTTAGGTTTTAGGTCTAGTTTCTGAGGCACCTGTACTTACCTAGCTGTGAGGACATCAAATGTTTTGTTAACCTTTTTCTTATAATCATGTATGTTGCTACAGCTATGAAGCAGTACGAGGCATTATGTCAATTCGTAAAGAAAGTATGATTGTGAAAATTGAATGTCAATGAAAATAAAATGTTGGTAGTGTACTTGTATATACAGTGATATTAGAGTATGACTACTTGAACCAGGCCACCTAGAAGAAAACTAACCAATCAGAATGTAAACTGAGAACAGCAGAGAGGTATCTTTTCTCGTGAAGACAAGTAAGGGTCTGTTTGATATGAGTACATGAATTTTATTGACTCCCCTGTATTATGTACACTAAAGGCCCCAGTTGTTGGAAAGGTGGATAACACTATCCACTGGATAAATCGCTATCCAGTGGATAAGTGTTAGCAAAACAAACCACATCATCTACTGGATAGTGATTTATATGGCAGATAACATTATCCACCTTTCGAACAACTTGGACCAGATTCAGTCCTTACTGGAAATAATCATTAGATAGTATTATTTCAAAAAAGATAACTATCCTTTGTTCTCAAGTAACATTCTGATTGGGGAATTACTTTTCAAGGGGCCCAGTTCTAGATAGTGGTCACACAGCAGTCATACTGTAAAAATATGTTGAACCTTCTATAAGCGACCACCCAAAATGTCAAGGATAGGTGGTCACTTATGAGAGCTTAGACCATATTGAGTCAAAATTTTGCCTTGTTTAAGACTGACAGAGAAAAGTGCATGTACATTTTATTCTTTAAAATTTTAAATGGTTAATTCCTGTGAAAAGTCAATTTAGAGAAAACATCTGGTACTTCCCATTGAGAAATTTCCATCTCTTGTACTACTCAGGAATGCGATAATGTTACAACATCTTATTATCCATTTTCTGTTCCATTATCTGTTAAGTGGTCACTTAAGGGAGGTTAAAAACAAATTAAAGAAAATTTCAAACTTTTACATGTAGCTCTAATAGAGGTCGTGATCACTTACAAGAGATTCCAAATGTAGTGATTTGGTGTGGAAACTTTTGGTATTTTGGAGAACTGGTCGCTGAGGAGAGGTGGTCACAACTGGAGGTTCGACTGTATTAATATTACACCTCTATATTTATACCAAATTCTCTATATAGGAGCTTGATCTTTTGATAAAACAAACCAAGTTATAGGTCCTTGTGATTTACATGTACAATGTATGTGTTGACCAGAAAATATCCAAATATATATGATACCTCCCCCTATGATACCCCTGCCCCCGCCCCCTTCCCAGTTGTGATACACATGCATTTATCCAAAAAAATATCCACATCCCCCCCCCCCCACCCCCCACTCTTTTGGACTTTCTAGTACCCTTCTTTTGTGTACAGTGCAATTAGGTGTGGATATTTTGTGGAAGTGGACAATCTGAATCAAAGATTTACCCATAAGAAATGCCATCTAACCTTATTCTATTTTTTCTTGATAGTATTTTCCATTAAAATGCCTCGAGCAAAGAATGATTACAAAAAGAATGTTACCAAACAGTTTTGGAAGTATCTATCAACTGAGCGGCTCAGGCCGTCAACAAAGATGGAGCTCAGACAGGTGTATTACGATCAGTTCAAGAAAACATTGGATCATTCCATCCCCACAGTTTCCTTTTCCACAATCTTGTTTCAACTGAAGAGGATGAAAAAACTGGTAAAATGCAAAGATGGTTCTGACACATTGTTGTACTTTGAACGAAAGGGTCGCCGTTTGGTTTTGGCTGTAGACCAGTCATTTGTGCAACGAAAGCAAAGGACTGCAGCAAAAGAAAAAGGAGAAGATGATGAAAAAGATGTTGATGAAACTGAAAGGGAAAAACACTCTGAACAGGAAGAAGATGATCCAGTGCTAGAGCTGAAGAAGTTATTTCTTAAACACAAGTAAGTGGCATTAGTATTTTAGTCAGATATACAGTATCACACAGTTTGTAATTGGGATACCATGCAGTTTGAAAGGAAAATACAAAAGACTGACTAACTGACAAATGGATGGATAGATGGATAGATAGACATTGGGCGGACAGTTGGCCAGACAGACAGAGGGACGAATACATGGATGGACGGACACTGATGAACTGACTTAACAACTGTAATAAATTATTTTATTATAATTATATGTTTATCATTTTTTGATTCTTATTTATTTAATGGTATTTTTAGGGTTAGGGTTAGGTTTTTTTTTATTATTTATTATTATTTGTCTTTGTTTGTTTGTTTGTTTTTTTTATTTCCAGAGAATCTTTCATTCAAGACAAGAATGGAATACGGGTTTGTTCTGATTTAGACAGAGAACATGGATTAATTGACTTTGGTCAAATGCAATTAACCGAGAGTGCAAAAATCACAGAAATCATTGTCAACAATGCTGGAACCAGTGCTGTGAGACTGAAACGATTTGTAGCCATGAACTCAGTGAGTGATTTCATGCTTTCTGACAAACACAACGTTAGTACATTTACAGGAGGGCAAACCAAATCCAAAGTGCTCAAAATTCCAGCCGGCAAGTCTTACACGATATCGGCACTCTTTAAACCAAGCGGTCTTGGTGAATTCAAACAGCCAATTGTCTTTGAATTTGAAGAGGAAGGCTCGACAACCGACACTTACCATATAGCACGGTTTCTAACAGGACAAGGAACTAGCGAGGACGTCGAGAGTATCCTGCCAACCCACAAGTATCGGCATCCCAAGCCTGTTGCAAGGGTGGTAGACCCGAAGGTACAAGTGATTGGTGGAGTGCCTCCCCTACGGTAAACTATCTTGTGCAAGTTATGATAACTAACACTGCTTTTAATAAGATATGTGGAAGGCAACAGCCCTTGTACAGCAATATTAAAGAACCCACACACTCATTGCAAAGATTATGGGGTTCCCAGTGTTGTGGTGTGGCCTTGTCTCATGGGTTGGTGTTTCATATCCATGGGTTAACTTCATTGCACCCCTCCCCTTGGACAGAATTGTCCAAGAAAAATTGCTATGTCTATGTCAAATTGTTGGAAGGCAATTAACTGTCCCATTTGAAAGCTTCCTCCATTTTCTGCCTTGTCTTATTGAAAGCACTGTTTTTTTTTTCCTCCAGTTAAATTTCAGTGTTACTAGTACCTATTTGAATCTGCTTTACATGTATGTTTTCTTAAAAAAAGGAAAATTCTAGTAATTATTTTTGTACTGTGTTGATTGCTCCTGCAATGGGAGTGTTATATGTTTTTGACAATACACTGTAGGTACTGTGTAACCAACATTTTAAAATCACGCTGAACATGCCACTACCAAGTTGTTGGTGTCAGAAACCAGGCTGGAGAAATGTTGGTACATGTAGTCTGCAATCGGGAAGCACCCACAATTGCAGTCTTATAATCATGATACCCCTGGCGAGTCATGTCTTGTTGTGCAGGAAAAACTTCTTCAAAAGTTGAACGGCAGTATTCATGAGCCATTAGCCTCTTGTGATCCTGACATAAGAAATGGATAATAGTTTGTAAGTTATAATTTTTGGTGGGGTGTGTGTGCAGAAGGGAGGAAGAGGGGGGGGGGGGGGGGGGG